TGATATCCATCTTACATCAGGGAAAACTGCAAAAAGCTCTCTACTAGATGTATGATAATGGATATAATTCTTCGACTATCTTATATATCTCTTATGAGTATTATTCGTTTATGAGCGTTTTTGGATGCTGTTCAATTCTCATCTCACCCTTCTTGCCGTCTTTCGGTGGCATGGATGGGATCCCTCCTTCCCCTTCGTTGGCGGTTTTATACTACTTTCCCATTTTTCATTAGCACAATCAAACTAGCCGTACGCGGAGAAACAATGGCTTCTTGCCGGTCTTCGACATGGGCGTTTCTCCGCGGAGAAAAAAAGCGTATAGATTATCGACCGATAGAGAGGGGCTTGGCCGTTGTGTTTGCCTTCTCGTTCTCTATCCTCGCGAATGGAAAGAGAGAGAAAGAGAGAGAGAGAGAGAGAGAGAGAGAGAGAAGGGAGAGAAAAAAGAGAGAGTGAGAACGGTTCTGCTGGTTGGTCTCTCTCGAATCACGTTGAGTGCGAATCACCTCTGTTGACTGCGAATTCGTAATTGTTTCCTGCTCGGAGGAGGAGACCAGGTGGAATAACTAACGACCAATTTCCTTCGGCAGGCGAGTCATTCCCCGGTATGATCGATCCGATTATCGCTCAGCGTGCTCGCGATTTCGAGCAGCATACATCACAGTTCCCTCTTGCGTCTTTGCAAATCGTTGGTCGTAGCTCGACGACGAATCCCGTGTGAATCTTGGAAAAATGTCCACGCATATCGCAGGATTTTACCGAGTTTTACTCGATAAATCGGAATCAGCTTGAAGATTTATTAAGGATTAAAACGTAGCGACGTGTCTATTATGCGGTTTAATTCCTTGAATAATATCCTATTGAACAACGCTTCGATTTAGTTCATTTTTCATGCATGAAGAACAAGATTTATACATTTTATTTATACTATATATTTTTCAAGTTATATATATATACACACACACACACACACACACACACACACAGTTATTTATTTATATATAATATGTATGTGTGTGTGTGTGTGTGTGTGTGTATATAACTTGAGATTAAAAGAGGATAATACGTATATGTTTTAATCTCGGAACAATAATATTGGCTGTGATATTCATTGTGTGCAGGAAATTAAGGATAACAAATTCTTAAGCTTAAGGTAAATGTATCAGTTAGTGGACGTGACCCAATTATTGGACAGAATGACAAAAATTGTAAATATTAACCCTTTCCGACACTGCATACATTGTAATGTACATCAAATTTAGAAACATTATCTGTTGAAATCTCGGTTGAAATTATTTAATTCTATTGACATCATCTTTCTGAGATCTGATGGTAGATTCATTGGAATCATATTCAAAACATTTCTTTAATTGAGTTCATGCGCACTTTAATAAATAATGTTAAAAAATTAATTTTTTTTTCAAAATTTGTGGACTATTCTTCCAACATGTACGTAATAATATTAATTATAATTTTTTAATATGAATTACTTTATTAAAACGTACACGAATTTAATTAAAAATTTTCTTAAACACAGTTCCAATAAAATCAGATTTGAAGAGATTAAACTTTTAACGATATCTAAATAAATTCGTGTTATTAAATTATTATAAACAACGAATTTATTTAAATTCGTATATATCATTATTAAAAGCTGAATAATTAAAATTTTTGTCATTTCGCCTAATAATTGGATTTCCAAATTGTCTAGCATATTTGCCTTATATATCACAATAAGAAAAATTTTAGAGTTATCCAGCACGGCACGAAAATAAATTAGCAACAAATATCGCGAATACGAATGTAAGAGTTAATGATATTATACTAAAATATACAGCAAGAGTTAATGATATGCTAAAATATGTCTATCTATATAGACTTAAACACGTAACCACGAAGATGTCCAACAGTGGCGTTTCCTAACGACGTATCTGGGGTAAAGGGGAGGCAATTGGGGGCGGCTTTAATTATCTCACGGGCTTCCTAACGTGCAATTAATTCCGAATGCGGTTTAGTTTAGCGAACGAAGAGCAAACAATGTATTACGCCCTAGGCCGTCTAAACGTAGATGGTTACCACGGAATCGAGGCTGAAGGGGTCGGTTAAAGAGGCAATGGGGATAGCGTTAGGCTACTTTACGCAAATAGCACGGATCCTGCAGATAGTGTATACTTCTTGTAACGCCGTACATCCCTCCGTTTATTCGTCTTTCTCCCGTTTCTCGTATCCTTTTCATGATTTTCC